ATGACAATGTAGAAGTTGTCAAGGGCTGTTGCTGAATTCCAGTACTTGCTTAATCCATATAACCTTCGTCCAAAACTCAGGAACTATTTGCAGCTTCAGTAGGTTGCATTAAAAGAATTGATGAAATACAGAATAAATAAATGTGTGCTTGTCTGCCCTTTTTTTGCACTTCTGTACATGTTTGCTGGTGCAGTATAGGGGTTAGAGCATGGGACTAGGATATGGGAGACCCAGATTTGAATCCCTAATCTGCCATGAAAGGTTGCTGGCTGACCCTGGGCCAGTCACACACTCTCAGCCTAATCTACCTCAAAGGGTTGTTATGAGGATAAAATGGAGAGGAGAATGAAGTAAGCTGCTTATGGTCCCCATTAGGGAGAAAGGCAGGGTATAAATGAAGTAAATTAAAATAAATTATAAAATCAATTACTGTGCACCGTCCCTTCTTACTGAAAGGAATTGGATTCTGATGGCCAGGAAGTTACGTTGTTAATTCAATCAGTACTCTTTGGAGCTATTATTACATTGTATACTAGCAATGAATGTCTTTTAGGGGACATCATAAGGGAGGAACAACAAACCCTGCATAGCTTTTGAGCTCTGATGAGATTAGGGCTGCCAAATCCCCCCGGGGGGGCAGATTTCCCCCCGCTTTGGAGGGCAGATTTCCGCCCCCGCGTGCACAGGGAAGTGATGTCATGACGCCGGGCATGGCAGGTAAGTCCGGACTTGGCAACCCTAGATGAGATTGGGATATACCGTATTGTTCCAGATTTCAGGCTTTTAGATACCAACTTTTAAGTAACATATTTAGATTAAATGATTTGATGTTTTTATGAAGTACTATTTATTATTCCTATCATACATTGTGAGCCACCCTGAGCCCGCTTGTGGCGTAGGGCAGGATATCAACTGAATAAAATAAATAACTGTAAAATCAGATTTTTCATATCCATTGCCTCCTCTGTTTCAATGGTTCAATCAGTGCTTGCCACCCACCGCTTCCCTAATTTCTTTTCCACATTGCTCCCAGGAATATCATTTTCTATTTCTCCCCATTTTTTAGGACAGTTGACAGTAAACTAGTCTCCTCTTTAATTTTCCTGTATAAAGGCTTGTGGATAATCTATTAGAAACTCTGTCTTCTGTTTCTAATAGAAAATCTCAAGGACCATGATTCTGCGGGGAAGGACTTAGTTGACATCAAAAGAAAGGAATAAAAGTTTTGTGACTATAGCAGTAGGTGGTATTTATTAATTAAAGTATATGTGTACTAGTTTTAGTCACTCAAAGGACTAATGAATAGGTTAAAAATACACACAATAAAACCATAAAACAGTAATACATCAATCCATGATAAAGTATCAAACAATCCTTGAAATGGATTTTATGATTTAAAATAAGTTGATTTCTGTAATATGACTGAATGTATACAATCAAACTCAAATGAGGCTGATTTAAGATTAAATAAAACGATGTTACGGATAACTAATTCTCCACCATTGCCTACCCCCCGCTTCTGATTTTGCTGTATGGGAAATATATAAATCTGTGCTTGGGAATTTCAACCCTGATTTCTAATATTAACCCTAGTTTTTCCAGTTAGTGATTAAAAAGTCATATGATGGGACATCTACAAAGATTGATCCACTCATCATCCAGAATAGTGAAAGCTGAACTATGTGTCAGATGCAGCTGTGTGTCTGTTCTGTCTGATGTTTTTGGCCTTTTTAATGGAAAACAATCTTCAGTTCTGCAAGTTTCAGCAAAAGAATGGCAGGGAAGAGCTTCTTAATCTTTCCCTTTCTGATCATTTTTCTGCTCAAAATAGGGGCCTCTCTTAGCTTCTTTTTACTCCAGGAAGGACAAGATATTTTTTCACCCAGATGTAAAAAGCAGCTAGGGGAAAGTCAGTTTTTTAAGTTTAAAAAGGCCAGAAGGGAACAGAGCTAAACCACTGTCTTCCTGCCCAGCCCAAAAATTATTTAGCTGAAACTTCAAACTGACGCTGCTTTTGATTTTATAAAAGAGAATGTACGGTTCTCACTATGAAGGGCAGTAAGAATTGGGGTCCCACAAGCATCAGTATTGGGACTAGTGCTGTTTAATTTGTTTATAAATTATTTGGAATTAGGGATGAGCAGTACAATGGCCAGGTTTGCGGATACCAAACTATTTAGAATGGTGAAAACAAACGCAGATTGTAAAGAGCTCCAGAAGGATCTCTCTAAATTGGACGAGCAACCACATGGTAAATAGTGTAGGTAAGTGTATGCATATTGGAACAAAATATCCAAGCATTAAATATACATTGGTGAAGTCTGAACTGGTGGAGCCAGAAGGAGATCTTGGAGCTGTAGTTCAAACTCGATGAAAATTTCACCTTGTGTGGTAATGGTGAACATGGCAATCTCTTTGCTAAGAATTATTAGGAACTGAACATTAAACAGCCAATATTGTACTGTTCTGTATAGATCTATGGTGTGACATCATCTTGGAATTCTGCATATTGTTCTGGTTTCCAGTCTTCAAAAACTGTGTTATTTATTTACTTCACATACCCTGCTTTTCTCCCCAATGGTTACCCAAAGTGGCTTGCATTGTAATTCTCCCATGTTGTCCACACAACAACCCTGTAAAGTAGGTTAAGGTGTGATTGGTCTAAGGTCAGCCATCAAGCTTCCATGGCAGAGGAGGGATTTGAATCTTGGTCTCTCAAATCCTAGCTCTATACATTAATCACTACACAACACTGGATAACATACAAAGACATGCAGAGCTAGAAACAAGTACAGAAGAGGCAATCAAGGTGAAGAAAGAATAAATAATCTAGAACTTTTCAGTTTATAAGAAAGATGACTTGATAAGAGTTTTCTAAATTAGTTTGGGCCTGAACAATATCTGAAACAGTGACAGCATTTTTATTTGTCTTCTCTTGGAAATCTTTAGTGTATCCTTTGTACTGTTCAATTGAAATACTTAGATAATCTTGTATATAGCACCTAACATTCTTATTTCCCCATACAATTCCTACCTGATTTAGGCCTCTTTAATTGTATTAATCTTGTGTTTGAATAACATCTAATATGAGTAAGTAATTTCTTTTGGGCTCAAATTGCTTTCTAGCTGAGGAGGCCTTTCTGGCAATTACTTTAGGAGAGACACTAACTGTGCTTCCCGCTAGATTTTTTTGTGGTCATTAATTCACACCTGTCACATGACACTGATCTAGAGACACTCAATCTTGCTTGTATCACCTGCAGAAAGTGTTTTAAATTCACAGCATTCTGCCCTCTGACACCAAGGGTTTAGCCCATACTCTTATAATTTCCTGGGTTGATTAAAGGACTACACTTTTTCTTAGGCTCCTGAATAAACTGTGGTTGAAAGTGCAATTAGCTCAAAATACATCTGTTCCAGTTTCAGATTACATGTGCTCCTTAGCCCATTCCTGACCTGCATGCATCAAGTAGAAAAATAATTGACTAAAGTTTACTGATTATATATGTCATTTTTAGCAACTGCATCTTCTTACAGAAATAGTTTTACTAGCATTACTTGTTGATCACAAATAGATAAATCCTTCATTGGTTCATGCATATGGCTGGATCCAATGAACCACAAGTGATATTTTGCTTGTAGAGTGGTGCTTTCCTGCCTCACCTTTACTGTTGCTGCCCCTTGTGCCTCTCAACAAACCTTCTCCTATGTCTTTGTGGGCCCTGCGGTAATCTGTGGCGCCGGTGTGAGAGGCTTCGAAGGAGAAGTGCCTTTTGCTCACATAAGTGGACCTTTTGGACTAAACTCATATCCTGAAGACTTGGGGGACATGTGAAAACTGAATAGGAAGAAAATTGTTGGGTTTTTTTAGAAACAAGAACAACTTTAACAAAAAAGTTTATTCCAGCCTCATAAATTGTCTCGTCTTTTTCCTTCAGCTTGTCAGAAGTGACAACAAGTAGAGATGAGAATATTAGATGGCTGGGCAGGACTGTAGAAAACTAATGAATATTTTCTCTTGGCAACCTGGCCAGTGTGTTTTGCTTCTGTTGTCATCTAAAGGCTTTTCTGCATGGGTTTTTTTGGGCAGGGTTGGTTCTGGCCCCATGCTGCTTCAGTTTATCCTCTGATTTCTGCATGCATTTTTATACCTTTAGGGTTTTTTTGGGTTTTCCCGTGGGTTTTTTTTCTCTCCTCCTTTCTGGTTCTTTTGAGACCACTTTTACCCTAGTGTTCATCTGGAAAGCGATTTTGAATTGGCTTTTTCCTCATACATAACATTTCTGTTGGTTTTCTTTATCCCGCTCACTCCCAACCACATCCAGCCTACTGTTCAACCACTCCCTCTCCTCTCCCTCCCTGAAGATGAATTATGGCACTAAAATATAGGTATATCACTGGAACATTGTAACAATAGGCTTAGGCGGTTTTCTGAATCCCCAGCTTTCAAAAAAAGCAAGTCTCTAGTGCCTTCCTTCATGAAAATATAAGGAAAAATGCATATCTGTATGAGAGAATGGACTAGAGACTTAAAAAAAAAATAACTGGAAACTGAGAGAACCTTCTAAGCCTATTGTTACAATGCTCCAGCGATATACCAATATTTTAGTGTTGTTTTTAAAGAAAGAGGTGTGACACCACTGATGACAACAGTACCTTCCCTTGAAAATCCTCATTCTTGAAGGCACATAAAGAAGAACATAGATTGATTCTACGGCTGTGATAATGTACAGGGAGGGCAGACGTGTGAAACAGTCATGTCCACACTGATTCCAGTGCTTGTAGATTGATCCCCAAGATAATCAGGAGTAAGTGGAGCATGTGGGAAGTGTCTAATATTCATATTTAAGATAGATTTAGGTGGGTAGCCGTGTTGCTCTGAAGCAGTGTGCATCCGCATGAAAGCTAATACCCAGAATAAAACTTTGTTGGTCTTAAAAGTGCCACTAGACCGGTTGATGCATTTAACATTTTAAAATAAACATTTCCTTCTCTCCTAGGGGTTTTAGCATGAAAGGACAGAAGAGAAAAAGATACAAATCTTTTATCAGTCATAAGGTGACTTCGACCTACCAACATGATGAGCCCACAAAGAAAGCAAATGCTATTTTTAGTGTGTTAGATATGGCAACATCCGGTAGGGTTATAGAAGTATATTCTTATAAATGGAAATGCTAATGTGCATTTCTTCTTATGCTCTTGGTAATGTATCTTTCAAAAGATGGTATCTAAATTTATGTAGCCTCTAGCCAGCAATATAGAATGTCATACCTTAATTTGAACAGCTAAGTGTAGGTGGGTCTGATAGCCATGTTTAGTTTATTATTTGTTTACAAAATGTGTTGATTGCTTCTCAAGACCACATCAGGTGATTTACAAAGAAAAAAACAAACCTTGAACAAAGAATCCCAATAAAAACAGAAGAGAAAATTAAAACCATTTAGAAGCCAAAATAGATTTAGCTGAGACCCCTCACCGCCCCCAAAAACCTTTATTTATTTATTTATTTTTATTTAAAATGGGCTTTGATTCACTCCATATCTCTAGGGACATATTACCAAGAAGAGCTGTATTCCAAGCTAGCCTTCTTTTCTTTTTTTGTTTTTTTACATAAGGATTGGTGGTGGCTCTGCCAAAGGTTTTTCTAAAACTTTAGAAAAAAGTATGCAAAAATAATAAATGAAGCAATGTATTAGGTGGAAGCCATAGGCACCTTTGCCAATTCAGTGTCTACTGTATACCTGGAGGGTCTTGGTGCAAGTGAAGTAATGATTCTAAAGAAAGGAGACAAGTTGCTTCCTACCATTGTTTGAAGTTCCCCACAACTGGAAGGATCAGTTAAATTAGAGTGCAGGTTGTTGTTTTTGTGTGTGTTTAAATCTTTGAATTTTCTTCCTAAAAAGTAATTTGAATCTTGATTGACTTTTGACATTTTTCTAATGTTTTAAATTGGTGTATTGTAAAAAGCATTATGATCTGAAGTAATATCAAGGGAATTTCTCTTCCCTTAAACCAGGACAAGCTACATAACTAAGGAACAGCTATGTTGCGAGATGCCATTGGAAAGACTTTTCGTCTTCTTGGATACACCATTCAGTATGGGTGCATAGCTCATTGTGCCTTTGAATATCTTGGTGGAGTTGTTGTGGTGAGTTAACAAAAGTTGGCAATGGCTTTATAATAATGAAAGCAGCTATATTAGCAAGTCAGTTTTCAGCCTGTTATTCTCCAGTGTACTGAAAATTAAAACTTCTTATATAACGAAGGGACTTGGGGGGGGGGCAGTGTTCTAGGTTGTACGGTTCGAACTTCCTTTAAACTTTGTTTAAGGCAGCAAACAGCTTATCAGCTAAATTTCAGCCAACATCTTCTGCAAAACACTGGTAGCTTCACAAATACAGCACAAAATTTTGGAATCCCCAGACTTAGATTCTTCATCTCTTCTACTCTGCCCATTGCCAAGAATCCTGTGCACAAATGATTGAGGTTGGATTAGAAACTGCAGAAGGAAGATATGGTGGCAAGTGTCATACATCTTGTCAGCCATGTCACCATATCACATGTGAAAGTGCTGTAAAGATTATAATCTTATCTAAATATTCTATCTGGCAAGCTATTTTGCAAATACTAATTGTCCTCTTTGTTTTTGTTTTTTTAGTGTTCCGGACCTTCGATGGAGCCTACAATTCAAAATTCAGATATTGTCATTTCAGAGAATCTCAGCTGCCATTTTTATTCCATTCAGAAGTATGTTACTATTTTGCACAGCTCCAATTTTCCAGTAGCTTACTGACTGTCTTTTCTTTAAAATTATATTCTTGCCATTGTTCACTGTGTTAGCATTATTGTGTTAACATTATTCATAAATTCCCTTTTTGCTTTTAGATAAGGAAGATGACTACTAGTGTTTTATGCATGTCAGAAATTGTTCTTGTCTTGATGCATTTGTAGCATTAATGCAAAGACTGAGCACCCATTGTGTATTTATTTCTATATAGCTACCATACTGTATGACTTCTGATTTTAAAATTTTAGATTATCTTGCCATATATTATAATGGACAACTGGAGTTTATCTCCAGGAAGCAAGTCCAGATAGCAATTCTTTCCAGCAATGCTGTAAATCCCATTTATTATATTATCCAAATGCCACTTTATTGGCACTTTGTAGAGCAGTGAATATTTACACTGTGCTCAACCATCATGAAAATCAGACTTTATGTTTTATGGCATGTATTTACAATCATAATGCTTCTGGATAACAGTGTAAACACAAGTTACGGTGGGCAATGGCAGTGGACAGGAAAAGCTGCTTTAGTAGACAGGTGCAAGCCTGTGACCTAAAATTCTTGGCTCTCTTTCTGTTTTAGTAGAAAACAGAATACCTGCCATTTAAATCTCCATTCAGATATCAGGCTGCTATTTATTGCCTACTACATAGGGAGCTGCCAGTGTTCCCTCTAAGCTGAGTTAGTGTGAGCTAGCTCACAGTTTTTTAGCCTCCGGCTCACACATTTTTGTCTTAGCTCAGGAAGGATGGCTCCGGAGCAAACTAATTTGTGCAGTAGCCAAATAGCTCGCTCACAACTTAAATGCCAGTAGCTCACAAAGTCTGTTTTTTGTTCACAAGACCCCATAGCTTAGAGGGAGCTTTGGCGGTGGCTCAAGTGTTTAAGACGCTGAACAGCAGGCTGTGGAAGGTCGGTAGTTCAGCAGTTCGAGACCCGAGTGTGCTGCATGACGGAGTGAGCTCCTGTCTCTAGTTCCAGCTCCTGCCAACCTAGCAGTTCGAAAGCAAGAAATTGCAAGTAGATAAATAGGTACCACTTCAGTGGGAAGGTAACAGCATTCTGTGCGCCTTGGTGTTTAGTCATGCCGGCCACATGACCACGGAAATGTCTTCGGACAGCGCTGGCTCTTTGGCTTTGAAACGGAGATGAGCACCGCAACCCTAGAGTCGGATTCGACTGGCTTTTGAGCAAGGGAACCTTTACCTTTACATGAAAAAAAATCTTGAACAGGACTTCTTCCTATCTAACTTCTCTGGATTATAACCCTGTGTTTCAATTCCATATTATCAGGAAAAGAGGGAGTATCTTGTTGGATTTTAAAATATATATGGCAGATCTGTGTGGGGGAAGTAAAGCCTTCAAGTCTGGTTACAGCATAGAAGGCAGAGCTACATTATTGACTCTTTCTTAAGCACTGTGTGGTTCCATGGCTTAACAGGCTAAAGACAAAACCATTATGCCTATGAAGGGCTATGCTAGAGTGCCTTTTGGGATGCTTTCCATAAAGTTTGGTCACCAGTGCTTTGAAGGAGGTTATCCTGTAAATAATGGTGACACTGACATTTCCTTACAAATGTTTCTTCAGAGGTGATATTGTCATTGCAAAAAACCCAAGTGATCCAAAATCAAATATCTGTAAAAGGGTAATTGGCTTGGAAGGAGATAAAGTCTGTACAAGCAGTCCTTCAGATTTTATTAAGATTCACAGTTATGTAAGTATTATTGTTTTTTATTCTTTACTGTATTAAAATGTGCACATCTTTATATTAAACAACATATTTAAATTATTTTTTCTCATGAGCCATCGGATAATTGTCTGTGTAGAAGATGTATTGGACTTGCTCGATGACTAGATTTCCCTGCTTGTGAACTCATTCTACCATAATTTGGAAGGACATCTGTGCAGTTAGATGAAAGGGATCTTAGAGTTCCATCATTCGGACCAAACTAGAAAAAAAATAGACATGCCGTTTTTTGGAGTGCTGTGTGTGCTGCCCTGTAAGCCCAAATCCAGGTCAGCCATGTTGCTCTTGAAATCCAGCATGAGCAGACTTTGGTTTAGTTATTCTGGGTATTTATGTACCAAGCCCTTCTGCTCTGGGTTACAAGTGAGCTCCTCTTAAGGCCAGGGCTTTTTTTGTAGAAAAAGTCCAGCAGGAACTCATTAGAATAATAGGCCACACCCAACAGTAGAAACTCATTAGCATATTAGGCCACACCTCCTGACTGCACCGCTCATTAGCAGGTCATCCAGCCACACCCACCTTTTGCTTCTTATTCTGTTTACCTTGTTTGTTGTCAAAACCCAGGGCTTTTTTTGTTGCAGGAACTCCTTTGCATGTTAGGCCACACACCCCTAATGTAGCCAATTCTAATGAGTTCCTGCTGTTGGGTGTGGCCTATTATGCTAATGAGTTCCTGCTGGGTGTGGCCAACTTGGGAGCCAGCCCCAAAATAGCCCTGCTTAAGGCTTGTTACTAGCACAGCCTGGTAGCAGGATATCTATTCATATCTTTCGAGGTAGTCCAGAAAACAAAAGATTCTGGCCAAATAAACCCAAAACTTGTGTAATGGGGATGCTAGAATTTTTTTAGAGGCAATGAGAGTGGCCTATGATACTATGTAGGTCTTTTGTGGGAGGGGGATGGTGGTGGAGATCTCTTGTAGAGGGTGGAGACCTCAGGAGTAGGTGAGGCCTAGAGAATGAAAGGGAGAAGGATAAACATGAACCAGTCCTCAAACCTTTGAGCATTCTACCAACTTCTTTACCATCATGATAAGTCTTGGACAGAGGGAGAGTGGATATCATTTACTGCCTATTTTATTTTCCTTTCCTCAGATATTGTTAATAAATTGTTGCTGAACTATATGCTTTCTTTTTTTGTAAGCAATGACTGCTTATACAACTTTTTTTTTCTTTTTCTGAAATTGTTCTTTGCACCTACATATGAAAGCCTAATTTGATCATGCTTACCAAGTTACATAGAAAAAGTAGGGAGATACCTACTTGGGTTTGTCTAGCACTACCAAGTGAGATCTCCAGTGTTTTCCCCTATTTTAATTGTGTTTGGAGTAGGAAAGTAGGAAAGTCTCTTAAAGGACACAGCCCAGGGCACTTACCCCTGGGGGAGAACTGGTGGAGCAGGGAGGAGCAGGGAGGAGGAAGGCCAACTAGTACCACCTTCCTCTCCTAGACTTCTCTGTGGTAAAGGCCTCCTTGAGAGGAAAGACTTAGTTGAGAGTGGGAGCAGGGAAGCAGAAACTAAGAGTGGCTGGGGGAGAGGAATAAAAGGCCCCAGCTGAAGGAGGGAAGGGGGCACCTGACTGGACGAAGGTCGGGGAGGAGGCCCATGCCTTGCGGGTCTCACAGATAGAAATAGAGGGTCTGGTCAGGTGTCCAGGTTAACAAACAAATGCCTCTGTTAATTTATGACCTGATGGTGGCAGAGAGGAATTCTAGATGTGCAGGGGGTGGTATAAAATAAAGCTGAAATGGTGAGCTCATTGAGGTCTGGTAGCTTGTGACCTGAGACAGCTGAGTAAATTCCATACTCCACCCCCATGGTAGAAACAAGTGCCCACAGGACTCATAATACCACCGTCTTTGTCAGTTTTGACTTTAGATATGCAGGTTCTCATTGGTCAGTATCTCTCCTTATATATAATTGAATAGTGGGTGCCAAAGTTCTAATTCTAAAATGCACTCCCTTAGTGTATGGCTGATGGCACTGCTCCTCAGCATATATCGCCACCAATCAGAAGGCAAAGCCCGGGTCCCGCCCACACCACAACTGCTGCGACAACCTGGTCTTTTGCATATGGAAGCTGATTGGACTTCAGTCCATTCCACACCTCAAACTCCCCCCCCCCCGCAAGGCAGTTGGAATTTTCAGTTGCATAACATACCTCATAGGGGAGAGGAGAATGGATAACAATGGTTACCACTCTCCAGGTGAGGGCTACAGATAACTCAAACATACAAATGCACTTCAGGTAGCAGAGATCAGTCCCTCTGGAGAAAACAGTGGACTCTGTCATTAAACCCTGCTGAGGTCGCCACAGGAAACTGTCACTGTTTGCCCAAAGCCAGAGCACTCTCCCAGAGCCTCTTTCTAGATCCCGTTGTATTTCCGCAACGGGCATTATTTCTAGTAGAGGAATAAAGCACACTCATCCAGCCACTGGAAGCTAGGAGGATTTCCTTTGTAACTGGCATTTTGTTATTGAATTCTGTAGCCTGATGTGCAATAAATGGTGTTGCTAGGGTTGTTCGGCAACCATTGAACATGGTTATTATTACATTTAAGACTTAAACTGACTGAATCCACCTATCAGTCAGAAACGTTTTCCT